ATTTAAAACTTAAGCAATTATTCTAATTAATATTTTATTAAACATGAAAATTCTTGTAGCAATTCACTATTCATCTTTTTAATTCTTACGAAAATAGTGTCCATGATATATTTATAAAAGCAATTTAAAATATTTTCTATTTAACTAATATTAGATCTTTATTGAATTTTTTTTTTATTTTATGATTTATATGAGATGGATGGTAAGTGGGATTAAACTATTAGAAAAAAAAAATGATGATTTAAATTCTCCAAGGATTTCTGCATATAACGGACATACATATTAAGCGGTAAAAAAATTAATTTCTTGAAATTTCATAAAATTCAATAAGGGGGCAGCTGGTTGGGTGAGGGATGTAAAAAATTGTTTTTACCAAGATATATACAATAAATTCATTGAATTGTGAATAAGTCCTGAAAGTTTCATTAAAATCCGGCAATTATTCGATTTAGGCAAAAATTTCCAAATCACTGAGTTGTTCACCGCAAAAAGACGCAAAAATTTCCTATAATATCTGGTTTCCTGCTGATGCCCCGCCTCCCAACAAAAAAAAATGTTATATAGGAATAAAGTGCCGCTGCCGACACATGTGTTTGAACACAGATCGCCAGTGAGCAAACACAGGCGATCCCATTATTGAATTAAGTAGACCGCGTGACCATAGTGACCAACATGGAAGAATTAGCCTGGCGTCTGATTGATGGCAATTTCTAGTCTATCCTCTATTACAATACGGACCGCTATTCTATACACTATTCTATACCGCTATTCTATACACTATTCTCTACTCGGATTATTACTATTCGAGAGAGTATTATCGAACAAGTACTATTAGTGCAAGTATTACTCGAAGGCGTCTGATAAAAGCATTATTCAATGGCTTACCAGAGTTGTAACTGCGATTATAAAGTCGCTAATACAACGAGCATTACGAAAATGACAACGATAGATCTTTCGCATCACAAACGTGTCAAACGAGTGTTCGTTGACATCACACAAACTTATAACTACAATTTCGAGCTATCTAAAAAAGACTAAATATACAATTTAATACTCAAATATCCTTTGGTTTTCCTGCTTCTAATAGCATAAATATTTTGACGATAAAGTCTGAGATATTTTTTCCTCATGTATGCTCATTTTCAAGCGAATCTTTGGTGGCACCTGTATAAAAAAAGCCTGCCTTATTTTATTGCTTCTTAAAATTAAAATTGAACCTGGAATAAAAAGAATTGAGGTTATTTTAAAATATTTGTATTAATTACTAACTTATGAAACGTAGTACAAAATGCTACTAGCGGTTAGTATATACTAATGTCATTTCCGTTAACATTAACTTGCGTTACTCTTAGGTCTGGCTTTCTTGCCTTGGCTTGTGTTCAAATCTATATGAGTGATTACGAAGGAAAGCATTTTAACTTTGGCCTGTGCCTTCCTTTTAGCGATAAGTATTTGGACGACGCGAAATGGTCACTGGTGGTGGCGTAATAGGTGGGACGGGGGCGTTTTAAGGAAAAGACGACATTAGAGAAATCTACAAAGGCTGCATTTTCAAAATATAAAACGCGTAGGACGGAAGAACAATTTTCATATCTCAGACACTCACATTGAATGCAATTTACACGCGCAAATAATAAATGATTTACAGGCAAGTTTTCTTGTATGCGGCATCTTTTGTTATTTTTTGGTTATTCTTTTCATAAAAATATTGATACGACAAGACCGTAATTTATCAATTTGGTGTCACCTATATACAGAATGGAGAGAAATAGTACTTAACATAGTACATGTTGCAAGAAATAAGATTTAAGATAAATCACCGCCCCCCCCCCAAAAAAAATGATCTGGCAGGAGAATAAAGCAGTTACGACACCAAACATGAATCAATCATAAAAATTAAAAAATGCAATTAGTAAATACCAAACACTTCCAATACCTCGTTGTATTGATCAGTCATAACACATAGAAGGTGCGATGGATGAATTGTCGTCAAAATGAAAATAACTCTGACAACTCATTTTAACAGATATATTTACCAAAATTGCACAAGCATATTTTGAAATACTGAAGAGTAAATTTATTCAATAAAATCGCCATTGGCTTCAACAACACCGCACAGAGGGTTCCAGAATCTTCTGCATGTCTTCTCGACTTTCTACTTGTTTAAGTTGATGAATTCTACCGTAACCCTTGTCTTCAGTTCATCTTTGGCGCTACAAAGAGTTCTGCTGCTCTCCCGTTCAACTGTACCCCACACAAAATAATCAAGGCAGTTGAAGTCTAGGGAGTTAGGTGGCCACATGTAATGGGGGGGATAAATTGATTGACAGCCATGACTATATTCTCCTGTTGCAAGACATAGGGTCATCTAGCAGCGACCCTCTTGGACCGTGGCAGCACTACCTCCTCATGGCACTTGATGTAGGCCACCGTGTTGAGTCTGAGGCCTTCGCTAAGAAATTCGGCAGTTTTGTTCTCATCAGAATCAAGGCAGTGAGTTTTCGAGGTACTGTATCTTAATGTACCATTAGACTCATCCAATTCTTTCCGAGGTACAATACTTTTTTTCTACCATTCGACTCACCCAACTCTTTCCGAGGCATAGTACATTTATGTACCAGTAGACTCACCCAAGTCTTTCCGAGGTAGAGTATTTTTCTGTACCATTAGACTCACCCAACTCTTTCCGAGGTACAGTAATTTTCTGTACCATTAGACTCAGCCCACTCCTTCCGAGGTACTGTTTTACTGTACTATTAGACTCACCCAACTCTTTCCGAGGTACTGAGATTTACTGTACCATTAGAGTCATCCGTACTCTTTCACTTTCATTGATACCGAAATATACTGAAATGTTCGTATTGGAGAAGTCGGCGCGAATGCCAAGCAGTACAGCATGCCTTTTCCAAATTTCTGGCGAAGGGAATTGCGTCATGGTGCTCTTTTTCTCACAGAGGGTGCCCAACTGACTCTAATATACTGAGCAGTCGAAATAGCCAAACAACGCGCATGCGCAAAATTTAAGGAGATTGAATAAAGATAGGCTGTGCTAGAGGTAATTTCACACAACGCCGCATATTTTTAGTTATTTCACCCAAAGCAAGGCAATAAAGCCTCTAAGACACAGGGAGTTGATGATTGTGAAAGAATAAAAAGAAAAAAAAACATTATTAAGGAACATGAACAATAAAGGAAGAGGATTGCATTTAAATTTTTGAAGATCAAAGTTGGTTGGAAGAGAATTCCACAGGCGAGAAGTGTGAGAAAAGAATCTTTTAGGAAAGAACTTACGCTTATATCTAGCTAATTCAACTGTAAAATGATGATACATTGTTGTCCATCTAGTATAGCATTGCTGGCCATTTGTATTCGAGGATACCCGTCTACTACTGCAGCTAGCCAATCCCTATTGAAGACGCTGACTCAGGTGCATTTGTGTTTATTCAACACCCACAGAGCCCACCTATGGTTTATACTGCAACTATACTGAGCTGATCTTAGTTACAGTTTCTGGGAAAGAGCAGGTTGTCTAGCGTGACAAGTTTGAACCAGGCCAGCACGATCAAGCCTTGGCCACGATGACTTGTAACTTCGTACTAGCTCAGCTATCGACGGCCCCTAAGGGTTCAGTCTACCCAATTACACTAATAAGGCTTGGGTCAACCCGTGGTATGTTTTTCAGGCACTTTCCTAAGGTGTCGCACGCTAGGATCGACCCCTCCAATCCGATAACATCAGGAAGTCTCCTTTTAGACAAATCAACCGTGGTGAGATTCGAACTCGGGTTTCGTGTTCTGAATTCGAACGTTCTAACCACTCGTCTACGTGCCTAAAACGTTGTCTATCTAGTACTGTGCTAAAATACATAAAGTCTAGGTCTGTCCAAGGTATGACGATAAACTACATCCGGTAGCAAGGATCGAGGTGTCTGAAGAGCGTGGTACCACCTATTAATTGCTGTTGTTCCCAGGTCCACCCTGACCCGACTGATATCAATTGTTAGGGTCCCAGTTTTGGGTAATTACTTAACCACCACGTGGGGATCAAAACATAAAAGTATAAACATTTTATAATAAAAATACCAGCAATACATTTTCATTGAAAAAAATACCAGCAATAAATTTTCATTGAAAAAATACCAACAATACATTTTCATTGAAAAAATACTAACAATACATTTTCATTGAAAAAAATACCAGCAATACATTTTCATTGAAAAAATACCAACAATACATTTTCATTGAAAAAAATACCAACAATACATTTTCGTTGGAAAAAATACCAACAATACATTTTCGTTGAAAAAAATACCAACAATACATTTTAGTAAAAAAAAAAAAAAAATTAAATTACCAGAAATTTATTTTTGTAAAAGGAAAATTACCATAATACATTTTTGAAAGAGAAATTACTAATTGTGACAAGAAAATTAAATTTCTGCATTAAATGACCCATAGGGAGTTGATATGCCATTAAACAAACAAACAAAACCTATAATGTCTATGTACCATAGAGCAAAGTTCGTTAGCAATTACCATGAAAATATTTACAGAAAAGCAGAGGAAAGCTACATTACGGCTGTGGGAGAGTGACTATTGCGTAATTTATTTTCATTCTTTGCCATTAGTTTTCCTTCTTTCCTTTGTATATGTCCATCGTTTTTCTTCCTTCATTCATTCTTCCATCCCTCCCTTCCTTCCTTTCTATCCCGTTCTTCATTTTCATTCTTTCTTGTTATTTTTGAGGCACAGTCAGGACGTATCGTTCCCCGTAACTAACAAGCTAATTAACTATCTAAATAAATAAAAAAAACGAAAGAAACAAAGAAAACAAGTTAAAAAAAAATAGAACGAACGAAAGAAAGGACGATAAAAAAGAAAGAAAGTACGAAATCATGAGAGAAAGGAAAAAAAGAAGGAAGGTAAGAAAGAAAGTAAGAAAGAAATAACGAGAGAACAAATAAACGAACGAATGAAAGCAAGAACCAACGAACAAAAGACTCAGAAGAGAAAAAAAAAGAACGAAAGAAAGAAATAACGAACGACAGAAAGAACGAAAGAAAGAAAGCAAGAACGAACGAAAGGAATGTAAAAAGAAAGAAAGAACGAACGAAAGAAAGAACAAACGAAAAAAATGATAAAACCAAAAGAAAGAAAGAAAGAATGAAAGAAATAAATAAAGAAAGAAAAAAGAAAGAATGAATGAAAGAAAGAAAGAATCAATGAAAGATCGAACGAAACAAATAACGAACGAAGCACTAAAGAACGAAAGAAAGAACAAAAACAAAATGGAAAGACAGAAAGAAAGAAATAAAAGAAAAGAAAAAAAGAAAGAAGGAAAGTGAAAAAAAAAAGAAAGAAAGAATCAAAGAAAGAAGGAAAGTAAGAAAGAAAGAAAATAAAAGAAAAGAAGGAAAGTAAAGAAAGAAGGAAAAGAAAGAAAGAAGGAATGAAAGAAAGAAGGAAAGTAAGAAAGAAAGAAGGAAAGAAAGAAAGAAGGAAAGAAAGAAAGAAGGAAAGTAAGAAAGAAAGAAGGAAAGAAAGAAAGAAGGAAAGAAAGAAAGAAGGAAAGAAAGAAAGAAAGAAGGAAAGAAAGAAAGAAAGAAAGAAGGAAAGAAACAAAGAAGGAAGAAACTAGCTGAATTTTGTTATTATTTACGGTGAAAATTTATGAAACGTTTAGAAAAACTGAAGAATTCGTTTTTAATTCGAAAATAAATGGATTGCGTAAAATAACTAAAATAAATCTGCGATTGTTTTCGATATTTCCTCTATCTGCTTTTTCATTAACGATTACTTATTTATGACCAACCATCTTGCCTTCTTCTTTCCATTTATGGCAATACTTCCATCAAAACATGGTTCCTTTTCCAGATTCAGGTATAATTCCTACCCTACCCCAGCAAATATGTCGACATTCCCCTACTCCGAATAGTAAACTACCGTCGAGAATATCTTCAAAACAGCCCAAACGCATTATCTGCCATTTGGAGTCGCCGAAGTTTTACTGCAAGATTCCATAATCTGATGCCCAACGTCCAAGCGTGTGGATTATTTAATGAGGCGGAAGAATTTGAGTGGGATGACAAGATAAAGAACGGATTACTCTGACGGGTGTAAGGGGCAGTAATACATTTCTGGGAAGACAGTGGTCATTGCCGGATGTAAAGAGGATGATAGAAAATGGACGATGAGATGACTCGAAGAATGGACGTTTGATGGCAAGTGTAACATGAAAGGAAATGTTTGGATAGAGAGAGACAGAAGAGGAATTTATTGAAAGAGAGGAATCCAACTGAAAGGCAGGTGGATGGAATGAAAGAAAAGGAGAGAAAAAAAAGAAGGAAAGTATTAAAGGAAAGGGTTTAGAAATGACTGAGCATCAATGATTCGATGAAAGAATGGATGGTCGTCAGTAAAAGGGGCAACACAAAATGCGAATTACGAATTGGGGACAACGAAATCAGGCCAGTACATAAAATTTAAATATTGTGATCACTCACCTCATAGCCTTGTGTTTACAGGATTGGGACATGTCTATTAGTGTTCATAGGTACGGTATATAACATACTACCGCTCTCGATTTTTGTGAAATGAGGTATTGTAACGATTTACTTTGTTCGGAATGTTGTCCTCATCTTCATTGCCATATTCACGGCGTTTCGGCCGTTGTACACCCTTCTTCAGGATCTGTCTATATGATGCGTTGTAGGCTCGACCTTCTTCAGGATATGTCTATTTTTCTGTAATGAGATGTTGTAATGTTTTACACTATTTACATTGTTCGTACTGTTATCCTTATTTTTATTTTCATACTCACGACGTTTCGGCCATTGTACGCTCCTGCCTTTGTCAGGTGATATACGTTGGAATTTCGAACAGAAATGTGTCACATGGCCCATTGGATAAAAACGTTTTCTAAAGTAATCCAGTGACTTGACCCAAAGAGTTGAGAGTTCAATACCAAGCCACGTCAGAGGCGAACAAAAACTTAGAGAGTTAAGTTACTAAAGGCAAATAACTGAAACTGAGATATCCAGAAAAGGCATGGCACGAGGAACGAGAATAATCTAACCCGATGGACAAAATAAAAGGTTCGGTTCGAAATTCCAACGTATATCACCTGAAGAAGGCTAGAGCGTACAGCGGCCGAAACGACGTGAATATAATAATAAAGACTAGGACGACAGTCCGAACAAAGTCAACAGTGTATGTCAGTCTTCCTATATGGCAATGAAATCTGGACAATGTTATTGTAGATGAAGAGACTTGAAGCAACAGAAACATGGCTCTACAGAAGGATACTGAGAATACCATGAACTGAATATGTGGGAAATGGAAACTAAAACGGCACTTATACTACGAGGAAGAAAGAGACAGTTGAAATTTCTCGGGTATATATTGAGGAAAGACGGCTTAGAAAATTTGACACACCCAAGGCATATTGACGTAAAGACAGACAAAGCAAAGCAGTTCACATCCTACGTAAGGAAATTGTGCAAATGAATGACACAACTAGCATTAGGAACTATATCAAAAGGAAAAACTTACTCAGAGCTAAAACACGAGGAAGTCGTGGAAAGCCATGACCGTATACGTCCTGAAGCGCCACGGCAATTTAAAGCAGAAGAATTGCGCTATGTAGGACATAGTCTTGTTTATGAAGTGTCATCCAACCTATTATGTCTCGTATCTTTTCAGAATATAACAGATCATTGCTCTCCACAACTTCCTTGCAATGCTTGTCTGCTTACTATCCTTCCGATTCTCTGTTCTGAAATCCATTTTCACAATCTTGTTAGATAAACGCTGTCTCCCTTTGATCCTTTGGCTTTCGATATGTCTTGTGGGTGTTAAGTTTTCCAAGCTTTCTTTCCTCCTTATGAGTCTTAAAAATTTCAATACTCTTTTACTGATTGTAAGTTTCCTTTTATGTTCCCATTTTCTTTAAATCTTCCTCGTTACTTACTCGCTCTGTTGATCCTATTCTCAGTATCCTACTGCAGAGCCACTTCTCTGCTGCCTCTAATCTTCCCTCCATGTGCAAGGAAATTCTCCAGTATTCATTTTCTTTTTAGTGAACACTTCCTGTTTTTTAATACATAGCTTAGTCTTTGGAAAGCAAATTTTACTATTCTAACACATGTTCGAATTTCGATACCACATTTTCCACTAACTGTTATAACTCTTTAACTTATGTTTGTCCGTCTCTTTCCCACCGCCGTAATGTATCTCCCTTGTAAGGTTTCTTTATAAATACTTTCGTGGCAATTGTTCGGATGAACTCTTCGCTACGGTGCCTACACCCTTGTGTAAATAAATTGAAACAACTGCTTTAGTTTTTTTTCACCATACAATCAATTTTAGACCCAGTAGAGTGACAGGGCGTAATCGATTTCTATTTTTTCCTCAGATTGGGTCATTTTCAATGGTGTGAAGTAATATGAATTTATTTTCTTTGTGTGTGATGAAATTTGTTTGGCCTTGAAAAATGTTGCGTCCTCAGTGATTCCATTTGATTTTTATCACGTCCAATCACTACTGTCTCAACTGTCGATTATGGCCATTGTCTGCGATGGACGTTTCTCCAAGGAAGCGTACGAAAATTGTAACACTGCACGAACACATTCGCAATCCTTAACAGTGAGCAAATCAAATTATTATAGATTGGGCCGGAAACTCTCCTGATTTAAATCCAATCAAGAATCGGTGGTCATTCTGCAAGGATCGACTCTGTGGAATGACATAGGAAGTAACATGTGCACCGGGACATGTTTCATTGGAAAAATTCGAAAAAAAATATATATAATAACGGAATTATTCGTTTTGTTTCAATTAATTCTTCCTTCAGTGGTTTAGTACTCATCTACACTTCGCCATTCATATAGAGTAGCAGTGTCAGATTTACCGATAGTTTTCTCGGAAATTGTTTACTGATATGAGTATGCTGCTTTGCGAAGTTGGTGTATAAGACAGATGTATAGTCTATCATGTAATGCCATCTACGTCTGACTGTCATCCTGCATTCTAATGGCAGGTGATTTAAACGGTTTAATCCGGGTTTCATTAGAGCTTTCCTTCTCAAAGATAGATTATCTTCACTATAACTATAGAGTTCCATTTATTCCTGACATAAACATGTACTGGTCTACAGCTTACCGCTTGTCTGTAACAGGAATAGAGCAAGAACGATGTTGTCACTTACTATAATCCCGATTAGTATAATGTTTAACCTTACCACGTACGGATTATATCATGACTTAGACATTTCCTCTGATTGTACAAGTGGAAAATTTCATAATTATTTGGAAAACACATTCTTACTTGTAATCTGCAAATCCTGTAATCTGGAAATCTGATCTCCCAGAATCTGGAAATCTGATCTACCAGAATCTGGAAATCTGACCTTCCAGACAATCTCAAACGGAGATTCGTTCGAATCACTGTAGAGGCGGTGTTAATGTACGGTGCCACTGATTGGACATTAACTGAAACCCTCGAGCCTAAGCTTGATGGAACCCGTACTCGAATGCTGAGAGCTACACTTAAAATCTCCAGGAAACAACATCCAACCAAGTCACAGTTCTATGGAGCCATCCTTGATATTTCTATAATCTTACGCGAATACAGAATACGCTTTGCATGGCGTTACTGGCGAACAAATCAAGAACTTGCGAGTGAGATACTGCTCTGGACACCTAGCCATGGCGCTAGACGGGGTGATCGTCCAGGAACCACGTACATTGACCAAATATGACAGAGAATGCGACTCTAATAACCTTTCGACCCTTAAACAGGACCGTGATGATTGGCGTGATGGACTCTTGAATGTCTGTGTTTGTTCGACTGAATATTAATAAAAATAACTCGTTCCAGATAAATGACTGTTCTTGCTTGATTGTAAAATTTCCAATTCCTAGTTCACATCTTCGGCTGATTCTCTTGCTAATGCTCACACATTCTTATATTTGATGGTATTTCCTTACCTTACCAAATAAATAATGGTTTTGTCTCTATATATCTTTGATCTTAATTTCGGTTGCTTTTAATCGCAGCTGCCCAGACCGAGAATCTGCGTTCGTTAGCAAATAAAGCAATTCAAAAACATGGACAAACTGCTACGAAGAACAGTTAAGATTAAAGAGGTATTAGTAAACAAATAACAAATGGTAGAATTTTTCATTAAATGACATGAACCACAAGGGCCTACAACACCTTTCTCACACATGGTGCGCCGCAAGCTCCTTGCAATTTCCATGGAGAATTTTCAGATGAACCACACTCCCTTAATTCCTCCAATTCTAACCTTCACTGCTAAAAACCGTAATGCCATTGCAGCGGACCAGCTTCATTACCTTCGTATTTCGTTCATGAGATGTAAGTTCCACTCAAGTAGTTTCTTTCAACGAAATACTGCTTTGCTTTCTTCATAATTTCTATCTTAACCTGTTCCAGTTTAGGGTTAACCATTATCTTCCACACATATCCACAGAAGCTGATAGTTCATGCTCTGTTAACCTCTACCTCGAGTGGATCTCGGGCATTAACAGTGTGAAACTCATTGTAAGAAAAGATAATATCAGTACGAATAATGAGTGTGTAAACTAAAAAGAAATAGGCTTAAGAAAACAGATTCTATGGTCGCAAGCAAAAGGGGCAACCCAAGATGTGAACGACGGCTTGGGGACAACGAAATCTATCCAGTACGAAAATTAGAGATATCTCGGAAATGTTTTAACAGAGGACGGAAAATGCGACATCAAAATCAAAATGTTCACTGGAAATAAGAAAGATGACTACTAAAAGCTAAGTAGATATTAAGAAACAAGAAAATTTCGCTAGTAACAAAGAAGAGAGTGTGGAACTGTTATATAATATCGTTCCTCTTATATTATATAATATATATATATATATATATATATATATATATATATATATATATATATATAGTCTCAATTACGGTGGACTAGTCATGTCTTGAGAATGTCTGATGACAGGATACCCAAGATTCTAATGTACAGCCATTTAGATCAGGGCTACAGGAATGTAGGAAGCCCATGGATAAGATACAAAGACAAGCTGAAAAACAACTTATCAGCAGTCAATATACCACATAACACCCTTGAGTGCTTAGCCTTGGAGCGGGTAGAATGGAGATCAACTTGTTTTAGTGGACTCAGCAATTTTCAATCTGCTTGTCTGAATCATCTTCAAGAAGCGAGAGCAAGATCTAAAAGGTCAGCTCATCTCACAATCCTCACACTTGCTCCATATGTGGCCTCCTTTGTAAATCACTAGCGGGTCTTAAATGCCACTTAAGATTATCGCATAAAATTTCATAACTGAATCAATAAGCTGTCAGATCCTCATACGTCGAAACCGACGGGAGAGTCCATTATATATATATAACAACAAAATTACCCAAATCGTTCAACAGCATACTTGTCTATCCCACAAAATGTTTAACATCTAAAACCACTAAACTAAATGAGTTTCTCTTTTCCAGGTTTTCAGAGAAGACGATTAGTCATCTTGACACCATTTTTCTAAGAATCACTGAGAAACCTTTTGCGTTATTCAACTAAAAAAAAAGGTTAAAATCGTTTCGTATCAGATACACTGTCTTCCCAAATGAGCAATAGCGAGAGGAAAAAGGTCATGCAGGCCTTCACTAATGGCACCAACATTCCTACTGTGGTTTCCATCTTCAAAGTCCATGCAAAAACCATAAAAAAAACGGTGAATATTTAAAAAAACAAAACAAAGAGGAAACATTACAGAGGAAATTTGGATGAGGAGGTCACAACAGGAAGAGAAATCATCATTTCAACTTAGAGCTAAAGAAATCAATTAGAAAAGATCCAACTCTATTCCTAAGACGTTTTGGCATGTTATTTGACACAGTTATTAGTCTGTGATTCTGTAGCGTCAATTCATTATGTTCAAAGAAGAATGATCATTGCCAACATCCACAGGCTTCCCTTACTCAAACTCATTTTTGACCATAGCTTTTAGAAAGCGGTTGTTTACAACTGACAGTTTAGATATTTCTGAACAGGTGTGGCGCTATGCATGACATATTAAGATATTAAGAACCTGATTCGTGTTTTCAGCTTAATGTTTTGTAGAAATTGGTGATGTTCGGCGAAACTAACTCCAACGCAGCCTATTTTATGTTTCTTTAACTCCTATACTAAATTTATTATAATTGATCCGTACAACCATTTCTTTGATGTGTTTAATTATTTACTAAACAGTTCAAATACTAAACACTTGAAGTGTTTAATCAATTCCATATACTGAAAACAATATCGAGAATACCATGAACTGAACACGTGAATAACGTGAAAGTTTTAAGGGGACTGAACGCATAAAGGATATTTCTACATAGAATTCTAAAAGAAAAATGCATAGCAACAGAGAGAGAGAGAGAGAGAGAGAGAGAGAGGGGGATGGAGGGAGAGAGATTTAGAATTTCTAGGACCCGCTATGAAAAAAATGGTCTTGGAGAAATTGGCAGACCCAGGGCATAATGTAAGTAAATGGAACCTATGAAACCAGCGAATAACCCTACCTGAAGAGTAAAGAGATAGCAGAAAAGTGATTGGGATGGATACTGAACAGACAGACAAAACTAAGAGCTACAAAGCATAGGAAGTAATGGAGAACCATGATCGCCTACGTTCTGAATAGACAGGGTGCAAAGAAGAAAATATCTTTAAAATTTATTGGTTCGTTTTTAGTCATTTAATTATAAAACTATTGTTTCTCCTTAGAAAATATAAAAAATGCATAGCAGAAGAGAGAGAGAGTGAGAGCGAGTTAGAGAGAGAGAGAGCGAGTGTGAGAGAGAAAGCAAGTGAGAGAGAGAGCGAGTGTGAAAGAGTGAGCGAATGAGAGAGAGAGCGAGTGTGTGAGAGAGAGCGAGTGAGAGATACCGAGTGAGAGAGAGAGAGCAAGAGAAGCGAATTTGTGTGAGAGAGAAAAGTATGTATGTATGTGTGTGTGTGTGTGTGTGTGTGTGTGTGTGTGTGTGTGTGTTTAAAGCAGTGTTTTCCGACTTTTTCCAACCAGTTCCCCCATTAGGCGCAAACTTTCTTGTCAAATTAAATTTCGGACATTATACTAAACTGAACCTTCATAGCAAGATAACATTTAGGTATTAGTGCAAAAATAATTTTAATATTATTTTGATTTCTATTATAAATGCCAATTATTCAAATGCTAAAAACAAACTTTGATAGCTTATCTTAATATGTTCAAAGCAATGGTTGACTTTGGTGCTTATCGGCTAAGGTTCTTGTTTTTGGTTCCATGCTGTTAGAACTAATCGTAGGTCTCGTTTTGGAATTGTAACTGCGTTGAAACCACATTCAATCATACAGGAAGTTGGAAAAGAATGAAAAAAAATGATAGCTCCCGACACCTTTAGATACCTTTCCGAAATTTACTTTTGTAGCCAATATTGAATATTTTTTTAAAATTAAAAAAAAATGGATAAATGCCCACTGGTCCCAAATGAAGTAAAAACTCCTAATGCCCCCCTTTCAAGATGAAACAATAAGAGGCGCTAGAGGCCATGTTGGGAAACATTACTGACATAAAAGTCAATAGATCCTGATAGTCACTCATCTCAGTTACACATCATAACTGTTTAACAGTCACCAACTTTTTCAAAGCATTGTTCCCCTGGGTTCTACGAAGCTGGAATATAGACTCTCTTTCCTAGGTGAATAATTTTTGAAAATTAAAAATAAAATAAAGATAAATGCCCATCGTCCCCTGAGTAAATGAAATAAAATCTTCCAGTGCTTCTTTTCAACACAACAGAGCCCGTAAGTGGGGGGCTAGCGTCCGCATTGCGAAACACTGGTGTAAAGCTGTACTTAGGAAGCAGTCAGTCTCTACTGCTGCAGTGGGTTTGACCCTCTATACGTTCTACCAAACATTTCTGAAATTCTGTTTATCTCTTCTCCAGTATAGAGAAGTACTAATCGAATTTCTTTGTTTCTATCCTCAGCTGAAGACATCACCTTACGAAAACGTCAGAAACTTGAACTCTACATTAAGACGACTACATCTTTCTGACGAGAAACGACTCTTTCTGGGGTTGAGATTTCATGACGCCCGGCGACTTTTAACAGCGCTTAGAAGTTTGCATCATGATTGATAGGAAGACTCGAAACCGCGGAACAATAAGAGGCTACCGAGGACATATGGAAGCTAGAAAAGATTTAAGTAGCGATTTGGAGATTTTAAACGTTTGTTCATTTTGTCTTTGGTTGCTTCGGTCCTGACATGTCTATTCTCCAAGAATGCCCGACGATCGGAGGTGGACAGAGGTACAGTCGGACATTAGGGGAGCGGGTAGCTGATCTTGCTTGCTTCGTTTGTGTTCGTTCGTGCCAAAAACTCTCAGAATGAAAAGTCGAATGTGCGTGCCTTTGTGTGCAAAAGAAAGAAAAGAAAAAGACAAAGAGACAGAGAAAGATGTAGTTGTTGTCAATATGGCTGCCAGTTTCTGAATTTGTCTAGTTCGATTGCCGGGTAATGTGAATAGTCAAATTATACGCTTATCTAAGGACAGACAATAGAACGGGACGTACGTCGACAACGGATGGGATTAATATTTTCTGGTCTTGCGTGTAAAAGTCTGATAGGTAGCAATCATCGGTGCACGACACGCATGCGCACAGAAAGATTCAAATATGACGGAGGAAAGAGAGAAAGAAGCACATAGCTTTATAAAGATGTTAACTTATAGGCTCTGTGTATCTCAGTGCAACATATGTATGCTTTTTTTTTGTTCAATATACGACATCAGTTTGACTTGATAGATTAAATGGCAAAACGAGGGACTGCTAGTTGAAGAGATGGATAAAGCCGATGATAGATTAGATTAGATAAATTAGACAGATTGAAAGATGGAGGACGAAGGGTAAAAGACTGGGAGGTAAGACAGCAGGTAATAGCTGGAACTGAAGAAAATGGTATTAAGGAAGAGGAACGTAGAGCGAAGAAGAAAGAAAGAAAACAACAAGAGATCGATACAGGTAGGCATGGATAAAGAACTGATAGACAAATAACCGTGAATCGAGAGATATGAACAGGCCAATTCCTACAAGACAGTGAAATACATAAATAATTAAAATACAAAATTGGGCATGCGTACTGATAGACCTGACCTCAATGAGACAGAACATTCTTTTCATATATATTCATGAACACACGCACATATATATATATATATATATATATATATATATATATATATATATATATATATATATATATATATATATATATATATATATAATAAAAAAAAAAAAATTAAAATTAATTAAAAAATATATATATATATAAAATACATTTTTATGTTTAAGGTTCTTTTTATAGATACAAGTATTTAAGTAAATGCTCTGCTTACAATAAACAGTATTAAATAACACTTAACAAAAATATTCGTCCTTTGACAGGATTCGAACCGGCATTCTATACAAAACCGTCAGTTACGACGAACGTGAGGTGCCTTAAGGTCAAATTTACCCGCTTTTGTCCATTTCTTAATGAGCGTGCGGTAATTCAACTACAATATATATATATATGTATATATATGTCAAATTATATATATATATATAAATATATATATATATATGAATATATTGTCCATTTCTTAAAAGATTAGAAAAACATGTTGAAATAGCTCCGCAAAAGCTTTCAGGTTTCAGTTTTAATGTACTTCTTCAGTCGATATTAAGTAAACAGTAATTAAATGATTTTTTTAAGAAAATTTAAAAACAAAGTGTTAGCACTTTTCCGAAAGTTGAAGGGTCGAGGGTAACATAAGGTTAGAATGAAAATTAGACTTGTGATATATTAAGAATGAAAAAAGTAAATGCCACTTTGTAATTTTAAACCATCTCTTTTAAATATATATAATATATAAGCAAGTGTAAATAATATTGACAGAATGAATTTTGAAAAACAAACAAAATCTTAAATGTAGTTAAATGAATGAAATGTCGACGTCTGACGTTTCGGTTTATAAACCTTTTTCATATTCATAAAAATACAATTCAGTTCATATATATGGACATAAAACACAAGTCTTATTCAGAACAGATAACTGAAAATTTTAAAATGATCATTCCGTCTAACATGGTCACGCTATATATATATTCATATATAAATATATACCAGTATAGAGTTGCATTAATAAATATTCATGTAAAATATATATATATATATATATATATATATATATATATATATATATCTATACGTCTTTATATATATATATATATATATATATATATATATATATATATGTCTATATATATATATATATATATATATATATATATATATATATATATATATATATATGTACATTGCAACTATAACATTGCAACACCCAGCAGTGAGAGTCTGCTTCATTCCTAAACTTCGTGGGTTGAAGTTTACGTTTAAGCATCAAACAGTCTGTCGCTGTATATATATATATATATATATATATATATATATATATATATATATATATATATATATATATATATATATCAAGTCAATACAGAAAGATTACATGTTTCAATACAAAAACTTTCATCTGTAGCGTTTTAAAATTTTTATTATAATCTTTTATAATAAAAATGTAATAATATAACTTTAAAAAAAAATGTAAATGCTTCGAACTCTGGCATTTTACTTCATTCGTTCTTTCTCTCATTATATATATATATATATATATATATATATATATATCAAATTACTTTTTTGCTGCCTCACCTGTATCACAACGCTATCATCAGGTGCTGATTAAAAACTGACCCTTATATAATTTCAATTTTGATATGTCTATCGAATAGTGGAGCAATCCATATTATTTCAGCGGTTTGTTTAAAAACAGAGAAATAAATATGCTCTTATAAATAAATGTACAAATACACACTCCTAATTTACATCCACCTACAAAAATATATATATAATTCAACTACACATATGCATATCTAAGTAGTTATAAAAATAATAGAAATGTACACATATATATCATGGCATATCTACATATGCAATTATATGCATATATAAATGGTGACATATGAATATTACCGCATTAAAAAAACACAGAAAATATATTTGTATCTATCTATATATATATATATATATATATATATATATATATATATATATATATATATATATATATATATATATATATATATGCACACGCATCCATGGCAGAGAAACAAAATATAAATAAAAAAACAATATTACTATATATAAATATATAAGTAAATATGGTTTTTATTATGCAACCCTCCCTATAGAATACATATATAAAATGAACATACATTCAAGAAACACAAGGCAATTATATACCTTCATGTCATACATATAGATATAGATCCTATTATTATAAAATAAATAGTACAATACATGAACTACATATTGTGACCAATATGTATTTTATATATTTTTGATATTATATTAAAGAACCGACACATATACATATAAATAGATATAAAATCACCAATTCTAGCTTGTGATTATACAATCAGACATGTAAAATTATCTGAACTTAAAGATAAATTAACTAAAGAAATGAAAAAGAAAGGTATTGGCTTAAATTTAAATCAGTCTATTTCAACAAATTTCAACGGGAATTTGTTTCTATGCGTACATGTTACCATTCATTCATTTCTCTTGTTTAATAAATTAGAGTTATTTAGATAGTTAATGTTTCTACAAGTCGTAGGTTACATGTTTCGCCTTTGCCATTGTCGGATTTAGTTCTTGCTATTATGTTCCCATGAATTATGGGTCTGTTATCACAATCCCTGAATTGGCAGTCATATTTAGAGAGGGCAGTTTTAGTTTGGTGTTTATTGTTACTTAACGTTAGCTTGTGATTATACGAACGATTTTTACAAGAAGTTTCATTTTCAATGTGAAGTTTAATATTTTTATCATATTGTATGTTAGCATTATATACAATAGTCTTAGTCAGACACTGGCCGTTTAAGGGACAGATTATATTGTTTCGTCAGATATAGTTTTTATTATTTAGTCTTGCTTCGTTTTAATTGTTCTTTTTTCTAGTTATATAATGACTCAGTAAAATATTATTACAATAGGATATGAACTTTTCGATATTTTTAAAGCAGATGTAACTGATTTATATATATATATATATATATATATATATATATATATATATATATATATTAAAATCTTCTTTAATGTTGCCGAGTTGTTGTAATGCTTATCTCTTAACTTGAGGCATATTCTACCAACATTAGTTTTTATATTACGGCTACAAGGTGAGAGTTAAAACATAACACGTGGTGTCATTTTTTTTACATCGTCTATATTTTTTCATTTATTCTATATTTATTTGGTATTTGCTTTCTTCTAGGATTTCTTTTAATATTTAACTTTAGCTTCATTAAATATTTCCTTATTGCAGAAATTAGTTGTAAATTTACAGGATGGTCCGAAAGTCTTGTCAGCTCTAGATACCATAATTTTCTATTTCAGGAGGCTGTCATGAGCTCCAACAATTTTGACATAAGCTCCTACAATGTGACAGCGTCAATTAAAGTGAATAAATTGAATCCAGCATTGTATTATTGTATTCCTCTACTGTTATTATTTCTTTTCATTGGGTGGTGACAAGACTTTCAGACCACCCTGTATATTGCATATTGTGTAAATGTTTAAGTACAATGTAGGATGTATAATCGCTATTTATGTATTTCTGGTTGTGTAAACCTTTTGCATACGTTTAGTAATTATCAATATTTAAATCCAAGGCCACGCCGAGAAAGTTGATCACTTTTGCATTAGTTGCTGTGGTCGTTTTTAGTCCATGATCTTTGAAGAGTGTTATCAGTTACTTTTTGATCGATATATATATTTCTTGGATTTGTTCTATGTAGTAATTTTACACCGTCACTTCTATAAAGTTCTTTATCATTACTATCAAACAAATATCTCGATGGCCACATGAAGAATATCTTTACCAATTATATACTTATGTTGAATCATACGCACCCATGTCACTGTTGAATTCTCACATTGTTTCTTTTATTCCACAATCATCCATCATGACACGACATACGTTTTTGTACGTGTCTTATTATTTTAATTTCTTTGTCGCTAACGTGACAATATTTTTGGTTTAAATTATGGCATTCATCACTAAATCTTCGGTGTGGATGGGTAAATATCACTTGTCGAATTTCATAAACGAACATTCATGCCTATTTTTATGTATATTTTTAACACTAAAGCCCAATATGCTACGTTATATATATATACTGTGTATGTGTGATATATATATATATATATATATATATATATATATATATATATATATATAGAGAGAGAGAGAGAGAGAGAGAGAGAGAGGGAGGGGGTGGAGCAGTGGATAGCGGCTTGGATTGAGTTCGAATTCCAGTCGAATCCATTACATTTCACTTACATGCTAATACCCTTGGGAAAGGTATGTATCCTCTTCATCTCCCTCCAGCTATGGGTAAAATAGCAGGACAGACTGGATTCTATAGCCTTGGTTGGCAACTGGTCTAGGAGAAGGACAACTCTGAATTCAAAACCTGCGGAGGGTCGTTTGGGAACCTTGTGGCATGCATTCGGTGCACCAGGTTATCTGTATTCGTCCCTCCAAAAAGTGTGGCTGGTCCTGCAGGAGGCCTTCACCACTATAATCAAATCTCATGTGCCGGTGTCGGGATGTCGGTTTCCTGGGGACTTCGGCCTGACCCTGCCGAGAGTCGATTATATATATATATATATATATATATATATATATATATATATGTATGAAGCGGCAGATTTATCTGACACATTTGTAGGTTTAATACAAGCGTAATAAAGAAAAAAAAAGAATGTTTTTATTTTCAAAATGTACATATAATTTTTTTTTATTTTCCTTTCATTTTCAGTTGCCAACATGAATTGTATGAGCGAGCATTGCGCTTTCATTGTGGAAACGTTTTATCAAGAACAACGAAACTGCAAAACAGTGTTCGGTATGCACTTCAGGCTAGGTAGACATGATACCATACCTACTCGAAACACAATTTTGTAATGGGTTACTGT